CCACCCCTGCCTTCCTCTGTCTGTCTGTGACCCCACCTCCTGTGTCTCTGTCTCTGTGATCCCACCCCTCCCTCTATTTGTCTATGAACCTGCCCCCTGTGTCCGTCTGTCTGTGACCCCGCCCCCAGTGTCTGTCTGTGACCCCCATCCCCTGTGTCTGTGTCTCTGGGCTGGTCTACACTGGGGGGGGCGGGGATCGATCTAAGATACGCAACTTCAGCTACGAGAATAGCGTAGCTGAAGTCGACGTATCTTAGATCGACTTACCTCGCGTCCTCGCGGCGCGGGATCGACGGCCGCGGCTCCCCCGTCAACTCCGCTTCCGCCTCTCGCCCTGGTGGAGTTCCAGAGTCGACGGGGAGCACGTTTGGGGATCAATTTATCGCGTCTAGACGAGACGCGGTAAATTGATCCCTGATAGATCGATTACTACCCGCCGATCCGGCGGGTAGTGAAGACGTACCCTCTGTGATCCCACCCCTCCCTCTATTTGTCTATGACCCCGCCCCCTGTGTCTGTCTGTCTGTGACCATCTGACTAAGGTGGAGGAAGGAAAAAGCCCCACAAGGGAGGTGGGTGACCGCTGGCACCCTAGTCTCACATCCCAGCTGGTGTTCAGGATTTAGCCAGCAGAGGTGACAATGTCATCTGGGTCCCTCTGTCTGGCCAGAACATCCCTCAGGATCAGGACAAGATGGTGATACAGTGGACCCCTGGGTCCCAGCAGATGACGTAGGTGGCAACCCTGATGGGGAAACTTGGTCCTTCCTTCTAGGCCACCCATCCCCTGTTCTGACACCACCACCACCCCACCAGACAGGAGTGGTGGGTGGGACAGCTACTCCCTTCATTATTCTAGCCTCCAGTTAGACCTAATTTCCAAGCCACCAATTTTGGTTCATTGATTTCCAGTTCCTTTCTCCTCTTGTTTACCAGGTGTGACCTGAACCACGCCCTTGGGGGCGTGGTCAGCAGAATTGAATGCAATCTGTCTTTTGTGTTTTCGAAACTATTTTCTATCCCCTTTTGCTCTGGACTGCTGTTACCTTGGAAAATTCAGGCTTGGTCCGTGCTAGCAACTTATGCGGATGTAACTGTGTCCCTCAGCGGTGTGGAAAATCCACATCCTGAGCCACGCAGTTATACCGCGCAAACTCCCTGATATAGACAGCGCTCTGCTGACGGGAGAGCTTCTCCCACCGAGATAGCTACACCACTCGGGGGGGGGGAGGGGATTGCCTACGCCGGGATGCAGAATGGGTAGATAGCGTGTTCACTCAAGCACTACAGCGGCGGAGCCTTTTAAGTGTAGACAAGCCCTTAGAGTCCAGGGCTCTGCACCACACTCCTTGTGTCTGTCTGTGACCCTATCCTCCCCCCAACATCCCTTTGTCTATCAGTCTGTCTGTGACCTCTCCCAACATCTGTGTCTGTCTGCCACCCCCAACCCCAACATCCCTGTGTCTGTCTGTCTTTTGTGACCCCAAACATCCCTGTGTCTCTGTCCCCTTTACGTACGTACCAGGTCCCTGTGTCCATTCCCCTCCCCAACACATGCACGCTCCTCTGGGTCTGGGTGTGACCCCCACCCACACATGCACTTCCCCCACCCCGGCTCTCTGTGTCTGTCAGACCCACCCCCGACTCTGTCTGTCTTTTTAACGTCATGCTCTTGCCTCTGTGGTTCACGGGGGCTGGGTTAGAGGTGGGCTGGGTGGGCTGGGAATGGGGAGATGCTGTGGGCCAGGTGCTAATCTTCACCCTCGTCTTCCTCTCCACAGAAATACTGCCTGGTGGCCAGCAGGTGAGCGCTCCCACTCCTCTGCCGCTCTCCTTCAGCTCCCCCATGACCCCGCCCCCCAGTCCGCCCCATAGGGCTGGAGACATCAGACCGGAAGGGCCCTACTGGGTCACCGAGTCCAGTCGCTGCTCTCGCAGCCCCTCCTTCCCCCCTTGTCAGCTCAGCCCGGTCCAAAATGGATCAAGCTCCACCCTCAAACCAGCTCAGTTCCTGGCCCGCACTGCTGCTGCTGGGAGGCCGATCCAGACCCACCCTTCTCTGATGGCCAGAAACCTTCTCCTCCTGTCCAGCCTCCCTTGCTTCCTGTCCGGTTTGTCCCCACTTCCTCTGGTCCCAGCATCGCTTACAGCTCTGCTCCCTACCCCGATGTGTCAGTAGGGAGCGATCAGACCTCTCAGCCAGCGTTTCACCAGGCTAACCCAGCCAAGCACATCCAGTCTCCTCTCCTCCGATCGGCCCTGCAGGCTTCATCTTGCTTGAACATGGGTGCCCGGAACTGGAAACTGCATTCTAGACACGCTTGCCCACAGCCGTCTCCTTGGGAGCCTCTGCCCCAGGCCTTGCTCGCTCACCGGCTTCCTCTCACACGCATGTGCTCTGGCTCGCTCTTCTCACACACCCCTCTGCCCTTGCACACGCATCCCTGACCATACTCAGGCCTTCTTGCACACTCACCCTTTTCACTGCCTTCGTTTTGCACACTAGCTCATCCCTTGCCCCCTACAGTGTCAGTATTCCTGGCACACTCCTTCCCGCCACACGTTCCCCCTCCCTACCGTGCCTCACATTAGGGTAACACCTCCACGTTCCAACCAACATCGGGGCCCCATTATGCCGGGCGCTGCGCAGACCTCACTTGAGATGGAGGCCCCAACTGTGCCAGGTGCTGCATGACCCCCCAACCAACATCGGGGGACCCATTGTGCTAGGTGCTGCACAACCCCCCGCCCCCAGCCGAGATCAAGGCCCCCTTTGTGTCAGGTGCTGCACAGACTTCCCCCTCCCCCCGCCAACCAAGATTGGGGGCCCTGATTATGGCAGGTGCTGCTCAGACACTCAGTGAGCTCACATTCTAGGCAAAGAAGGGATTATTAGCCCCATTTTACAGATGGGAAAACTGAGGCCCAGAGCGATTCAGTGACTTGCATGAGTGGGTTTGTGGCAGCACTAGGAATTGAACCCAAGTGTCCTGAGATCCAGGCCAGTGTCTTAAGCATGAGGCCAGCCTGCCTCTCCTATTGTACAAATCCAGAGTGCCTCTCTTACTGTGTGCTCCACCCAGGTCTGCTCACACCCCTCCCCTTGCACATGAGCCTCGCACACTCAGGTCTCGGGAAGACAACATTCCCCGCTGGATGAATGGATCCAAGAACTGAGTCACACAGTCTTGACCTCCCCATCGCCCCTTATCCTCTCCCTCTGACCTCCCTACACCCCCACCACCCTGGTTCCCCTCCCTGGGCACATGGCCCCCTGACTGGCTCTTCCTTCCCCACAGGCTACAGAAGATCCTGGGAGAGTCCCCGCCGGTCGCCCGGATGGACGTCCAGCTGCCAATCATCACAGATGACTTCAAGTTCCAAGTGTGGAGGAAGATGTTCCGCGCACTGATGCCAGGTAGGGCAGCTGCAGGAGATGGCTCAGTAGGGGGTGCTGTGTCATTGCTGGCCCCACTGCTCCAGTGCAGCGCTAGGGGGCGCTGTGCTGCAGAGAGCAGGTTGGTGGCTCAGTAGGGGGCGCTCTCCCCTCGCAGTCAGTGCTGGCCCCAGCGCAGTGCATGGGGGAGCTCCGCTGCATTTCAAATGAGATTCATACCAACGCTCTGGCCATTCATGGTTTTTAAATATCCCTGGCATTTTTCCAAGAGTCAGTGAGTTAACCACAATGTCCTGGCAAAATTCCAGCTGTGGTGACTCCATTCTAGTCTCTAAATTCTACCTTCACTTTCAGTGCAGGATTGCAGTACGACTGCTAAACAAACCCTGCGCCCCACCCCAGAGGTAGCTGCATCTCAGCACCAGGCGAGGGATCCCTGTATAAATAGTCCTCCTGCCCCAGAAGTGGCTGCATCTCTGCATCGGGCGAGGGATCCCTGTATATATCCAAGGATATATTCTATTCTCCTTTACTCTGCTCGGCAATCACCAGTTGTGCCGGGTGCTAAACAGACCCTGAGTGAAGTGATCAGCTCAACAGACCCGTGGCAGAGCCGGGAATAGAACCCAGGAGTCCTGGGCCCAGTGCAGTACTCTATTCACTAGGCCCCAGTGTGCTGGGCACCCTCTGGCCCCACCTGAGATCCTGGCCTCCCTTGAAGGGGACGGTTGGGGTGCTGCGTGGGAAAGAAGAATTAGGAAAAATGGGGATGGTGGGAGGTGACAAGGGGTGGAATTTTGGGCCAACTTTCCAGGATTCCACATGATGCCCCATTCCTTTCTCCCCCTCCCCTCCCACCAGCTCTGGAGAACCTGACCTTTGACCCGGACACGGCCCACCCCAACCTGGTGGTGTCGGAGGACGGCAAGCGGGTGGAGTGCGTAGAGCACAAGCAGCCGGTGAGCTCGGACGACCCGGGCCGCTTCGACAAGTCCAACTGCGTGGTGAGCCGCCAGAGCTTCTCCAGCGGCGAGCACTACTGGGAGGTGACGGTGGGCGACAAGCCGCGCTGGGCGCTGGGCGTTATCTCGGCCGAGGCGGGGCGAAAGGGTCGGCTCCAGGCCCTGCCCTCCAACGGCTTCTGGCTGGTGGGCTGCAAGGAAGGCAAGAACTACGAGGCCCATGTGGAGCACAAGGAGCCGCGGCTGCTGCGGGTAGAGACCAAGCCCAGCCGGATCGGGCTGTATCTCAGCTTCGAGGACGGGTTGCTGGGGTTCTACGACGCCAGCGATGAGGACAACCTGGTGCAGCTCTTTGCCTTCCACTCGCGCGTCACCACCACCGTCTACCCCTTCTTCGACGTCTGCTGGCACGACAAGGGCAAGAACAGCCAGCCACTGGTCATCTACACGCCGGAGCCGGAGGCCTCCTAATGGTGCCCTGCAGAGCCAGAGGTGCGGTAGCCCAACCTCGCCCCACGGAGCTGTGAGTGCTATAACCATGTTGCCAAAGACGCTGTAGACTCGCTCAGCCATGCTCTATGCTGCCAGATGTGCCCCAGCCATGCCCAACCTTGACCCAAGATGCCAGAGTGGAAGGTGCCACAACCACGCCCAACGATACCCTACGTCACCAGAAGAGCCATGACCATGCCCAGCCGGCCCTACGTCACCAGCTGTCCCATAACCTCACCCCACATCCTCACGGCCATACCCAACCATGCCACATCGCCAAGTGAGCCACAGGCACTCCCAACCACGTCACCTGGGCTGGCGGTGCTGAAACCACGCCAAGCCACACCCCACATCCCCAGAGAAGCCGTGCCCTGCCATGCCTCGCTATGCCTGACATCACAAGACCAGGAGGTGCCTCAACCATGGCCAACGTCGCTGGAAGTTCCATAACTATGTTGTCAGATGCTCTGTAACCACAGCTAACCACATCCTACATCGCCAGAAGCTCCGTAACGATGCCTTGTCATGCTACCATCAACAGAAGTGCCATTATCATGGCCCTCCATCACCAGAGGTTCATGCCCCCATTACCAAAGGCATCTCAATCATGCCCAAGCATGTGTCCATTACCAGAGACTCCCCGGCCATGCACACATAGCGGGAAGTACCACAGCCACACCCCATGCCATCACTGCTCCTCCACACATTCGGATCCCGTGTGGCCCAGCTCCAAGCTCCCTGGGATGGGCAGTGACCCGACGTGGTTCCAAGCCTCCGGGATCTGTACAGCCACTGCTGGGATCTGAGCATGTTCGCATCCACCCAGATACGGTCTCCAATAAAACATGGTCATGTCCACTCTGCCTCCTGTGTGCACGTGTGTGTCTGGGCTTCCATCTGCCGTACGGCCCCCAATCAATCTGTGAGGGATCAGCTACAGCTTTATAGTGGCCTGGACGCCTTATTTACTGGGCACTGTACCAGCATTAGTGGATTTATCTTTCTGGCACACACCCATGTGAGTGCATTACAGGCATCTCGTCATTATTGCTTGTTATGGTAGCAGTTGGAGGTTGCAACTAAGATCAGGTCCCCATTGTGCCTGGGACTGCGCAGACCCCGACCGAGATCAGGGCCCCGTTGT